AAGCCTTCACTTGGAACCCTCAAGGTTAAAGGAAAAGAGGAAAGCCAAGTGACAAATTACGCCGAGAAACGGAGACAGACATGAGAAGAATGCACAACAACTGGATAGAAGTGGAAAGGGAGGTCTAGGACAGAGTAGGTTGGAGAATGCTGGTCGGCTGCCTATGCTCCATTGTGGGTAACATACGTAAGTAATACGGAGTAATACTAGAATTCAAAATCGGAGGGAAGGCAAAGAGTGAATGCCTCTGTGTTGTTATGAACAATTTTAAAACCCTACCACCCAGTCTTCACTTACTGATCGCTGTTATGACGTAGACCTCGACAATGTAGTCTACATCTAATAGCGTAGCTCACCATACCAATGAGTGAATTTTGCAGACAGACGTCATCTCTTAGTTTGGTCGAGCCTAGATTCCAACTTATTTCCACATTACTTAATACCGCCTGTCAAGGTAAGCAATGAATACACATACGTAGTACATTCCTAACCTGTTATAAATCTTCCTCATTGTTTAAAATGATTTTAAACTGTGAATATGAAAATCAATAGTTATGATTCTTGAGAATTAAAACAAAACACTCATTGAGATAATTAGAATTTTTTTAATAAAATCAAATATAAATGTAGACTATTTACCAATAACTATTTCCATTATTTACTATTACTACTGTGGTGTGTGCTACTTATACGAACGATATAAGTAGTATAAGAAGGGACGTGAAAGAAGAATTCGCACGGTCAGAAGAGGAAAACGGAAAGCAAATGGAGCAAAAGCAAGAAGTAAATGGAGTACCAACGGGAAGGGAAGGAAGCAACAACAGGAATGGAAGAAGGATGGAGTGTTGGAAGTCACGACTCAAAGATGGTGTGCAAATAGAGTGTGTTCAATGTAATGTTTTCGTTTTTAACTAACTCACATATTGTAAATCCAAAATGTTGAAATTCAAAAGGAATAATTACTTACTTCATCATTACTTATGCCTGTTATCCCCAACGGAGGAAGGAGTTTAGGCCTCTGAATAGTGTTCTCCGACCTACTCTGTCCTGGACTTGCCTTTCCAATTCTGTTCAATGTTTGTTCATTATTCTCATGGCTTTCTCTATACCTCAGCGTAATGTGTTTTTTGGCCTTCCTCTTTTCCTTTCACCTTGAAGGTCCCGAGTGAGGGCATGTCTTGTGACGTAGTCAGGTGCTTTCCTCATCATGTGTCTTATCCACATCCAGGGTGCTTCTTCCTGATTTCCTCCTCCCCTGTGATCTGGTTTGTTCTCTCCCATAGTAGGTTGTTGATGATGGTGTCTGGAAAACGAATCCGAAGTATTTTGCGTAGACAACTGTTATTAAATACTTGTATTTTCTGGATAATGACTTTCATAGTTCTCCAAGTTTCCGACCAATACAGTGTAGAACTGTCGTGTATTTGTATTGAAAATTTCGATAGTGTTGTTTTAAATTCCAAAATAGGAATAATACTTACAAAAATACAAGTAGTATTTATAATCTAAACATACCTAATAGTTAATTAGTAATGTATTTGATCATATCACATGAATCCTTTATAGATAAACATCAACTCACAACCCCAAAATATTCCTCTAGAATCATTTCACATTATTTACAAATCGCAAATCATTTGAAAATCTGTATTAAGATAACTTTTGTCATACAATTAATCTTTTAGGCTTCTAGAAAATGCTTAGGTTTGATTGTGTTAGTAGTGATGATAGATTGTTCTGGACAATAAATAGGAACAATGAATAGGAATAAGTGTATGAGAGTGGAATAAGAGTAATGATACGAGGAGGAGAAAACAGTTTGGTTAAAAAAAATACAACCAAGAAGAATACCTACAGTTCAGTCATCAGCAACATAGAATTTGGTACTTACGCACATTAGTTCAAGTTGTCATACTGTAGTGAAGGAGAACACAGGTGAGGGCAACCGAATTGTATTCAACGAAAATTACAGAGTTACTCAGTAAAATAGGAAAACCATATCGTAACCGTTAATTTGCAAATCTTCAATCCATCATTAATCCATTGTCTGACATTTCACTATTCATGCGTTTCATACAAATTCCATTGCGTTCCCACTCTTCATTTCTTGATCTTCCCCCATCTTCTGCTGCCAGACATTACGTTTACACTCGCGTCATATACTACTTATAAGTAGCGCGCACCACAATACCACATATACACAGAGGGATGAGATTGTTGATTCAAATCCCATAGTACTACAGGTAGTAGAAGTATTAGTGGTAATGAAGAAGATTATGGGGCTTGAACATATGATTCGAGAAGTATGATAATCCAGTGAAGTAGAATTAAAAAGAGGAAAAGAATGTGGTCAAGAGGAATTCAGAAGATTAGAATTTGAGAAAAGACAAGGGGTTGATGACTCTACTCCATCGCAAACGGTTTTAAGCCATGTCATTCAAAGTTTCCAAACATCAGTTACGATTGTCTCGCACACCACCACAACCAGGTAGTCCACATCTACTGTTGACATGACACATTCCAATTGTCATTGAATTCATGGATTTGTGCCATGTTATGGTTTGACCACCCTTAACTTTCTTTCAGCCCAGCCCTACATCTGACAACATTGCTCGTCTCAACTGCCTCAATTGAGATGAAGACTCATTAATTCATCAATCGACTCCCCATTCTCACCTAGTAATTTTTTCCTAACCACAGCATTGCTCATTCGATGGTCCCAGCATAAACGAGCAATGTTTCGTAGACACCTATGATCGAACACTAACAACCCACCAATATCCTCTACTCTTAATGGTCATGTTCCACACCCGTATAGATAGGTGTAGGGTGAGGCGAACTGCTGCACAATAGACTCGTCCTTTGGTTAACAGATGGATATCTCACTTACGCCATAAATGATGCAAGTTGGCAAAAGCCAGTCAACCTTTCTTTATCCGTGCCTAGATTTTGTCAGTCACCAGCACTGATGAGACTCCCAAGATAATTGAAGTGATCTACACACTCGACTACTTCACTCCCTATCACTAGTTCAGGAGCCGATGCAAGCCAATCCTAAAGCAACATTTTGCATTTCGAGGTGTAGAATCGCATCCTGATCATGCTTGCATTGTTGCTTAGGGTATTCAGAGGACTTGATTTTTCTATTCTTCACCAAATGGAACTAAATCATCGGCATACTCTAAGTCAACAAGCGAGTCTCCTGAAAAGTCAGAGGAAGTGAATGTTAACTCTAAAAGCATGTCTACGACACAGTTAAACAAGAATGGAGAGAGTGACCAGTCCTAACGGATACCACTTGAGGTAAACAGTTCCGATGACAGTTCTCCATAAGCTCTGACTCGACCTGTGGTGTTTGAGTAGAGAGCTTGTATATGATTAATGTACTTCTTTGGTACACCTTTCAGTGACAGACTGCCTCAGAACTTTACGACCAACAGAGTCAATGAATGTAACAATTGTCGGACACCAAAATGAGTCTGCCCTAGGACTGAATGAAGAGTGAAAACTGGTCTATACATACACGTCCAGGTTTGAAACCGGCCCGGTTTTTCTCTTCACGAGCCCTAGTTAAGCGTCGAGGTATTATTGAAACTCATATATTAGACACTACTAGTTAAACTGATTCCTCTGTGATTGTCACAAGAGGAATTTTGTCCTTTCTTACAGACTGTTACAATCAGCGAGTGGGATCAGTCCGAATGCATTACGTCCAGTTCCTGCTCAGATCCCAGTCAACACAACTGCTAAAACTGGACCACTATCCTGAAAAATTTCGAGGGTAAGCCTATCAGGATCTGCTGCTCCCTTTTGCTTTAGAATTCTAATAGCCTTTTCAACCACATAACGAGTTGAAGGACTTACACCAGCTTGCTATTCATGTCGACTGGGGATCGAAGGTAACCGAACTGTGGCTGAAGGTCAGTTGAACTGCTCCCTAAAATGTTCTGTGCATTGATTCAATCTTCCGGATTGAGAACGAATTTTTCTGAGTCTCGCTAACAATTGGATTCCCAATACCTGTATCTTTGATAAGTTTGGACAGTTCTCTATTGTTACCTATTGCCACTGTCTTTTCCATCTCTTTTGCCTTCGCTACCTACCACTATTCATAATCATTGGGTAGGCTTTTTATCAGCCTGTGTTTAAGCTGCCTCTCACTGTGTTCAGAGGCAGACGGGGTGAGTTTGAGAGCATCTATCAGTTCAGTGGACGCCGCTGCTTCTACCGAACCTTTTGGTTCAACTGACTGGCAGAGATCATTGCTGATTCCACAGCCTTTTGGATATCATCCCAAGCTTACTCGGGGTGGGCATCTCTTATATGACTGGTTTCCTAGTTGCTCTCAAAATATACTCCTAGCTTTTTATGTTTAAGTAGAGCTAGCTCTAAGAGGTTTCCTTGCTGTCTTGCGCCGAGGAAGCCGCAGACTAATAAGTGTTCGTACTAGAGCATGACTGAATTCTAAACATGTGCTTCAAAACGAGCGGCAGTCTTCAATCGAGCCTCTCCATCGGTGAGTGATAGCAATATGGTCTAGTTGAGGCCAGCCTCTAGTTAATTTTGGAGATCGCCATGTCAAAAGATTTTTTTCCTTGTTTAAAGTCTAACAGAAATAGGTGATTATTTGAACGTAATTTCAGCAGACGGCATCTACCTGTTTGATGTATCATGGCACTACCTACTTGAGCGTTAAAATCACCACCCATTATTACTAAATCAGAGAGGTTAGCTTTTTGAAGAGGGTTGAAAAGCTTTCCGCAAAATTCATCTTTTACTTCATCTAAACTGCAATCAGTCGGAACGTAGGTAGAGACAACGAGAAGTGACCCTATCTTTCCGAGTCCGTATTGTTCCATTTAGTCGAGCAGCGCACAAAAGATTATCTACTAGAATCCACTCTAAGAGAGCTAGTTCTGTTTTAAAGCTCAATGACATATCTATATAATTCTTTCAATTAAATAAATTTCCCTCATTTGTGTGAAATTAAAAAGCTAAAGCAGGCATGCCATTGGCTTTTATTCTGAGTCACACATTACATAACTGAATGATACAGAAAGTATAAATTACATGAAACACGAACTCTAAAAACTGTGATTTTATACATTCCTTACGATCATGTTTGAAACAAATTGAAAATATATCTTATGGTTGAACTGACGACAGAGAACAAGAAAGTAAAATTATTTTGTGATTTTATTTACTTATTTACACTGTCAATAAATGAAAATGAAGACCCCGACTAACTAAACTATGTTGAGTATATAGATTCCTAAATTGCAAAAGTTTATATAATAATCTTAAAATCAGGGTCAAGATGTTCATCCGAAGGTAACTGAACGCGGGAAGCAGGGATTAGATCTTTGTCTACAAGAGGCAAACCATCTCTCCTTCGTCTTTCCAACTCCAGATATGCTTCTCTCCATGACCATTCACTATAACTAAAAACAATTTGATAACAATCAATGAATAAATATCACGATAAAATATACTGGGTGAAAACGAACAGATTGTGTAAACAGTAGATAATGAATTGAAGCTCAAACAGAGGGATAAAGAATCTCATAGAAAAACCAATTTACAAAAAGGGAGGCCAAAGTTATTTTCGAAATATTGTAACAAAGTGGGAAAATATAATTTCCCGATCGTAGTTTCTACCTTGATGTGGTGGTCGGGCTAGCCAGTGAGTCAGTTACAACCTAGAACTTGGTACATGTACGTACATAAATTCAGGTTGCTATACCATATTAGCACTGAGACGCAATTGTCAGTTCAAATTCCATAGTGCCAGACCCGACCGTAGCTGCTAGTTTCACGTGGTGGTCGGGCTTGCCTATTATGATGACGCGACTGAGCTATGCTGGCTGGAACATTATGTTTCCTTATTTACCATGCCAGGTAGGTCGATTGGAGAACGGTGAGACTAAAGGCACCAACTCAAGGTCTGGGGCGAAGTCGCACTGCTGACTGAAGAGGGCTGTGAACACAGTACGGTGTTTCTCTCGGACAACCACCATCTGCAGCGATGCCTTTTAGTAGCACGCGAGACCAAATTGGTCAAAATCAAATCCTTCCTACACCCCCTAATACCTCTCTTATCTCCGCAACTAACCCTTCTCAAGTTTCTTTATCAATGTGTGCCGCTAATGCGAAAAATTCGAATACACGGAACTTTATTCCTGGTCTCCCGTAACCCCATTTTAAACCACAAGTTGGAGCTTTTAGTGTCCGGATACTGTGTCAAATAGGGCAATAGGCTTCCTTAGCTACGACACTAGAATCTCGCGCCATCGATGTATGCTGCGTCTCGGAAACGCGTATACGGGATCCTAGTAAAGTCATTAATCCGATTGCACCGTGTCAACATAAAGAAGCAGTTAGATTTACTCTTCGTGTATCCGGTAGCCCTGACGCTGCCTCTCGGGGTCTCCCTGGTGTAGGTATAGCATTGAGTCGTAGGGCTGAACTATCTCTCCTAGACTGGATCCCAGTAGATAGTCGCTTGTGCGCTGTCCGACTAAACGGGACAGTAAGGACTCGTAAAGATAGGGACGCTCGCCATTACCTATTTGTCGTATCTGCCTATGCCCTCACTGACTGCAGTTAAGACGATGTGAAAGATGAGTTCTACAGAAAGCTTTCGGACCTCCTCCAAAAAGCTAGGCGCTCTGATGTAGTAATAATGGCCGGTGACTTTGATGTTCAAGTAGGTAGACTAAGTGAGCAGGAGAGACACCTAGGTGGATGTTATGGTGTCGCGGCTCAGAGAACAGACAATGGCGACTGTCTGTTGCAACGATGCTTAGATAACCGCCTATTTTTAGCAAGGACTAACTTTAGGCATGAGGAAAAGCATCTCTTGACCTGGCGACCTCCAAAGTCGTCGCAACGTTAGACCCAACTAGATCACATTGCCATCAGCCACCGATGGAGGGGCTTGATAGAGGACTGTCGCTCGTTCTGGGGCACATGTCTAGATTCAGATCATGCCCTAGTGCGAGAGCGTATTTGTTTGCAACTTACTGGACGTAGGAAAAACACCGCAAGGAAACCTCTTTGGGTTCTACTTAGTGATAATAAAGCTAAGAATATATTTCAGGAACAACCAGAAAAGTTAGGCGGCCAAGTGAGTGATTCCCATTCCGAGGCAGCTTGGAATGATATCTAAAAGGCTGTGCAAACAGCAGTGATGTCCGCTGGTAATGTAAACCATAAGGCCTAACCTTATGGTTAGTGAATTTCAGTAGCATCCACCAAACTGATAGATCCTCAAGAACTCACCCCGTCTGGCTCTGAGTAAGATGAGCAGCGGAGTCAGATCAAGCGCAGGCTGATAAAAAGCCTACGCAGTGATCGCGAACAATGGTGGGTAGCGAAAGCAAAATCAATAGAAAAGGCAGCGACGTTAGGTAACAGTAGACAACTATTCCGCCTTATCAAGGAAACCGGTGCTAGAAATCGATCTGTTAGCGGAACTATATCAGAAAAAGATGGTTGTATCATTCATTCGATCGATGGGCAGAACACTTCTGGGATCAATTCAACTAGCATTCAGCCACAACTCGGTTACCCACGATCTCCAGTTGACTTGAATGCCGAATCGACGTAAGTCGTCCGACTCTTTATGAAGTTGAAAAAGCCATACGAAATCTGAAGCGAGGGAGAGCAGCAGGGCATGACAGACCTGCCCCTGAGATTTTTAAGGATGGTTTTAGCTATCAGATTGACAGATCTTAGGTAGAATCTGGCAACTGGACATAATCCAATCTGACTGGTCCCAATCTACAAAAACGGACAGAAGTCCTCTTGTAACAATCACAGAGGAATCAGTTTAACTAATATAATATCTAAAATGTTGGCCTCAATAATACTACGACGCCTAAACAGAGCTCATGAAGAGCAAACTAGAGAAGACCAGGCTGGTGTTCGACCTGGAAGTGACTGTATAGACCAGACATTCACACTACGTCAGGTCCTAGAACATAGACACTCGTTCAGATGCCCTACAATAGTAGTATTTTCTGACCTTAAAGTGGCATTTGACTATGTCGAATGTGAGGTTTTGTGATAATGTCTGTCATTAAAAGGTGTACCAAAGAAGTACATTATTCTTATGGAGAACTGTCATCGGAACTGTTTACCTCAAGTGGTATCCGTTAGGACTGTTCACTCTCTCCATTCTTGTTTAGCTGTGTCGTAGACATGCTTTTAGAGTTAACATTCACTTCCTCTGACTTTTCAGGAGACTCGCTTGTTGACTTAGAGTATGCCGATGATTTAGTTCCACTTGGTGAAGAATAGAAAAATCAAGTCCTCTGAATACCCTAAGCAACAATGCAAGCATGGTCAGGATGCGATTCTACACCTCGAAATGCAAAATGTTGCTTTAGGATTGGCTTGCATCGGCTCCTGAACTAGTGATAGGGAGTGAAGTAGTCGAGTGTGTAGATCACTTCAATTATCTTGGGAGTCTCATCAGTGCTGGTGACTGACAAAATCTAGGCACGGATAAAGAAAGGTTGGCTGGCTTTTGCCAACTTGCATCATTTATGGCGTAAGTGAGATATCCATCTGTTAACCAAAGGACGAGTCTATTGTGCAGCAGTTCGCCTCACCCTACACCTATCTATACGGGTGTGGAACATGACCATTAAGAGTAGAGGATATTGGTGGTTTGTTAGTGTTCGATCATAGGTGTCTACGAAACATTGCTCGTTTATGCTGGGACCATCGAATAAGCAATGCTGCGGTTAGGAAAAAAGTACTAGGTGAGAATGGGGAGTCGATTGATGAAGTAATGAGTCTTCATCTCAATTGAGGCAGTTGAGACGAGCAATGTTGTCAAATGTAGGGGTAGGCTGAAAGAAAGTTAAGGGTGGTCAAACCAAAACATGGCACAAATCCATGAGTTCAATGACAATTGGAATGTGTCATGTCAACAGTAGATGTGGACTACCTGGTTGTGGTATGCGAGACGATCGTAACTGATGTTTGGAAACTTTGAATGACATGTCTCAAAATCGTTTGCGATGGAGCAGAGGCATCAACCCCTTGTCTTCTCTCAAATTCTAATCTTCTGAATTCTTCTTGACCATTCTTTTCCTCTGTTTAATTTTACTTCACTGGATTATCATACTTCTCGAATCATATGTTCGAGCCGTAATCTTCTTCATTACCACTAATACTTCTACTACCTGTACTACTATGGGATTTGAATCAACAATCTCATCCCTCTGTGTGTATGTGGTATGGCAACTTGAAGTACCAGGTTCTACGTTGCATATGATTGACTAACTGAAGTAGAGAAATTTGAAAAATATGACATAATTGACACAGTAGCGTGGTATTAATAACCCTGCATTTATGGGATTGTAACGGTGAAAATTACTAAGTATCTACTAGAACTTCAGTTACACAGGTGATGTGAGAGTAACCTTTAACTAAATGAGACAGTCGACACAAACAACATTAAGATTATAACGCGCTTCTTAGACATTCAGTCGTGTTAGAAATAAAAACCAAATCCAGTGATTATATATTTAACTAATCCAAGTGACAAATTAAATTGTCTCTGAGTTTGCAAGATAACGAAGATGCTCTCGCTTAGATAGCTCAGTACATCGAAGGGTTGGGGAATTAACCAAAGAAAATTCGTATGCTAGCCTTGAGACTTTTCATCAAGTTGTCTGCCAATAAATGACCAAATGTAAGGATATATTTTGCCTAATTCTAATCTTTCTAATTGCACGCGTCATTAGTATCCCACAAAGTATTCCTGATAGTCAACTTTAATAAATTGGACTAAAAACTGAAGCTTTCATTCTGGATGTTCACAGACCCTGTTATGTGGATTTTAGAGCAGCTGAAAAATTTTGAGTGGTTTAATGGAGTTTCTGATTTATTGGTCACTAAACAAATACAGGAGTGACATGTTCAAGCGTGGGTAATAGACAAATTCTAAAAAATCGGGGACTAAACCAGTAAAATTTGCCATTCAAAGTAAAGGACTTTGGGTTACTGGTTATGAGTAATTGATCATATACTAGTCAATAAACGATTCGAATAGTTTTTGGTTTTTCATCGAGGTACTCTATATTTTTACGACAACATGAGTAATGAGATAATTTTAGAAATTAAAAATATTAGCTACATATGTAGATTGAGAGTACTTACTTGCGTTCAGGACAGTAATATAGAAAGAACAAAAACGGGAAAAGCCCAACTGTAAGCAGAGCAAAAGGCACAAGTTTTGATAGAAAACTGTCAGTCTCTTTGTCAGTTTGATGATAACCAAGCGTAGTCCAATTCTACAGACAGATTATCGAATATATGCAAAATATTGACCTACATTCAACAACTCTTCAACATCTTTTTCAATTTGCTTTTTATCTGCTTCAGGAATATTGTTCTCCTTCAGTATATGCTTCATGTCGTTCAACTCCATATGCACTGGAATTGTAGTACATATATATCTTTTCGTATATGGAGTCGTTAAAGCTGTAATACGGCTAAATCTCTGAGGATTAAACACATTTAAGGTCAACAGCCTCAGAGAGGTCATTTGTAAGTCTATTTTCGATAGGCGCACCTAAGTCCAATATACAATTTCCATTTTTTCACGAGCTAGTATAAACGGACTATTTTTTTGAGCTCGATTGCTACAGCTGTTGATGAGAAAAGAGTTCATGAACCTGGGTGTTCGCTCTTTGATGTGCAATTTTTCGAGGGTTACCTGGAAGAGTGTGGTGGTGATGTTTTGAGATGCCCACATTGAGATGATTTAGCGTCCTTAATGTGTTGTACGCCATTACAAGATCACCTCTGATTCTCCTGTAATTCAGGGGGAATAATCCTAAGTATTGGAGTCCGCCTTCGTAAAATTTGTTCTTCAACACTATCACTCATTTAGTTGCTCGTCTCTGCCCTGGAATTAGGCGATTTATTTCTTTTTTAAAGAGTGAGGTGTGATGACGTAGTAAACTTCAAGATACGGAGACGCGTATGTATAGAGTAGAGTTAGGAACAGTTGTGAGATGGTTTCACCAAGTTCTCTTCGCATCCCTTATGTAGTTTGGACTAGTTTTTAGTCTTTCTGTGGTCACTAGACGGATAGCGCGCTCTGAGAAGATATTAGGGAACCGACCTCTATTGAGGTCGTAAGTTTTTTTGTGTCGCGTATAGCAGAATGTTCATTACGTGACATCCCGACTAGTTAAATTTGAACCCGTTGTCCATTCCCCATCCCTCAACTGATGTGAGGTCTCTTTAAAGTTCAGTGGAATCCTCGTTGCTTTCCATACACCTCTAGATCTTTGCATCATCTGCATAGATGAGTGCCAGTGTGCTAATTTCGCCTAACAAGTCATTAATCAATATCAGGGAGAGGAATACACCTAAAATGCTCCCCTGTGAAACTCCTGCTGTTGAGCTTGCCGACTCGCATGCCCTCTATTTTACTTGGTTCGAAAATATTCTGTTCTGAAGGTAGTTTCCGAGCAAAAATAGAAATTGATCAGTAAGGCTCATCTTCGCAACCTTCGTAATTAGGAGGGATATTATATGAACGGGTATTTTTCGGTCCCAGCAGGCTGTTCTACCATCCCATGCTATGAGAAGACTGGATGAACTTGACCTACATTTCTTAAACCCATGTTAGGCTACATAATGGATCTATTTATCATCCAAGTACTACCTCATTTGTCGATCAACCAGTCCTTCCCTTACCTTCGATCGTAGTGATAGGAGTGCGACTGGTCTTTAACAGGCTGGATCCCTGCTATCCCGTCCCTTGAAGATATGAGAGAGTAGCTTGTTTCCATTAAGCTGGAAGTCAATGGGACTTCAGTGAATGCCCGAACAGGTCACACACACTGTTTCGAGACTATGAGGCAAACACAGTTACATCCTGGTGACTTTCCTGAGCACAGGAATTTTTGTTTTCTTAGCACTTAGTCTGGAGTAAGTGGGATATTCCCAAGACCATTAGCTGGCACTAGGTCTGAGTAATACTCTGAACTTGTAGATATCTGGTTTAACTGATTGAAGAAGTTAGTGTTAAAGATCTCATCCATCTCTAGGTTGGTAAGATCTTCACCGTTTGGACCTACAAACACCCTCGTTTGTTCGTTTATTTGGCCAGGAACCTAATCGGATATTTTTGATTTAGCTGTATTTTGGCTGTTAGCTTCGTCAAAAAGTGTTTCCTATTCAGTATCTTTTCTCAGAAATAGTATAAACCAACTAATTTCTTTGTGCCCGCTTCTTGTTATTTCGCTACGGTTTCAGGTATTTGGTAATGTCAAGTGGATGTTATTAAGGCTACTCGACTGCACTAATTTCAGTCAGAAGGCGACTGTTTGTTAATTTGTATGTTCCCTGGTTTAAGTGAGTGCGTTTTTCGAAAATAATTTTTTTGTTACCACTGAAACACTAAGTAATTCATGCTTCTTGAACCTGAAATCTATTTGCATTCAAATGTATTAGGTTCATTCATCTCCATTATATCAATCTTCAGTTCATACTCCTACTGCGTAATACACGACAGGCTTCTAGATTACACATGAAAGTTTTCTAACCAAAGCACACTGAAAAAAAATTGCAGTATAACCGGCAATATGCTGGTACAATATATTTGAGCATAACTTTACTTATAAGACTAGATTCTGAGGGGTTAATGGATTTACTATTCACCAGTGTATCAACCGTAATGCAGTCATTAAAAATCTGAATTCTTCAAGTGATGCACACCTGTCCTTGTCCTTATTCCAGTTCATCACATGATCAGATTCTTATTAGTAAAGTTACACATACACAGTAGGCTCGTGTTGCCATAAATTTGAATAAAACTTGAGACACTTTTTCAGAAGATTCGCGACGCTATACATTAACATCAAAATAATCCTATTCATTATGAATGAACATTTTTAGATCATCTTTTAAAAGTGACTTAACGTCGTAGAAATGTGTGCATTAATTAAATGGTGTTAATCAATGAAGTTGGCATAAGACTCGTATCTAGATGATGTATTACGTCTGAATTTCATGGTGAATAGTAATATATATATATATATATATATATATATATATATATATATAGCTGCCTGAAATTTGTCTACTTGAATGTAAAAGATATAAATTTCAAAATGTGATCTGTTCCGGTTAGAAAAGATGTGATTCTTCTAACAAATCCAGATGCATCTCTACTTATATCTTCATTACAAGACTTCTGAAAAAAGGACAAAATGATTTTTTCCACAATTCTAGGTGCCCCTTCTGTAATTTTGAATCAAACCCACAAACG